AGAGAGAGAGAGAGAGAGAGAGAGAGAGAGAGAGAGAGAGAGAAGCTTAGGAGATCCCCTGGGGTGGGGTGGGGGTGGCAAGATCCACACCAAACAGGGAAGCTCCTTCCTGAGCATGCTCATTTACCATTAGCTTATATACATGGAGACACATCAATGTCCCAAAGGGAACAATGCCCATCTCTACACATCCATGATAGAAAGCTGCTGCATGGTGTGCTGGGAGCCAGCGAACTTCTGCTTCCCTTCTGACAGCCAGGAATGTTTTCTACATCGTCTGGGGTGAAAGTGAAGCTATGAGGTAGAATTCCATGGTTTTAGAATACAGAAAAGTATTGCTGCTTCCTGGCCTGAACACGTAACCCCTGCTGGAACAAGCAAATACTGAAAACATTCTTTCCCAGGAATGGAAGGACAACTCTACCAGGCAGAGTGGCGCTCAGCTCTGAAAGGACAACGTTTCCAGAAGCTAAGGCACATGCCAGACATTCAAGGAGCCAGGTTTTCTGCTGGCCACAGTTTGGAATGTGCTGGAAGGCACCTGGGACTCTAGCAGAGCACAGATGGGAAAGAAGGACCTTTCCAGGGAGTTACAGAATGCAGTTCTCAGGGCTCGTGAGTCAGACAGAATCGGATCAATAAACAGTTTTATAAAGCTCGCACTTGGCTTCTTTAAACAGAAAATGCTTTGCAATTATTCTTCGGGGGGAAAAAAAAACAGACTGAGAAAGACTGTGCCTGGGTACAGCGGAGTGGGAGCCTGGTTCTGTTGCTCTCCTATGAAAAGCCTCAGGCCAACCAAACCCCAGCAGGCACAGTCCTAAGACCCACGGCATTAGCAGCAAGGATGGCTGGTCACCTCGCATGTTTCCCACAAAGCCATCCAGCAGAAACTCCCCCATGGTCTTCAGAGACGTGACTAGAGTCTCTCTGATGGTACTCAGGTCTAGTCAAGTATATCCCCCCTCCCCCCACCCCCCTTCCAGCCCCCATCAGCGGGAAAGCAGCTGCCAGCTGCTGGTACCAACGGTAATACTCACCTCTGCGATCTTCAGCACGGCACTCCCATTGAGGTCAAACGTTGGGGTGTAGGTGATGCACAGTAAAACCTAGACCCCATAAGAAGTGAAGGGAGAAGGGAGAGATAGGGTTAAAATGCAGAAATATGTTTGTGTGGTGGTTTGAGAAAAAAATGGCACCCATAGGTTTATATATTTGCATGCTTAGTCAGCAGTGGATGAACTGTTTGGAAGAATTAGTGAGTAAGTTCTGGTTGGAGGAGGTGGGTCACTGGGGCTGGGCTTTGAGGTTTCAAAAGCCCACACCAGCCCCTGGTACATTCTCTCCCTCTTCTCCTCTCCCACTCCCCTCCTCTCCTCTTCCTCTCCCTCTCCCACCCACCTCCTCTCTTCCTGCTGCCTGTGGATCAGGAGGAAGGCTCTTGGCTACAACATTGCCCACACCTTCTCCATCTTCTGTGCCTAGACTGAAAGGTCACTGTGATTGTCTAGTCTTACCCCTTCCCAAAGCCATGTGGCATCAGACATTCTTCTGTACTACTTTCTTCTCTCCTGTAACTGTCCCCAGGATGGTCTATGGCATCTTCTTACTTTCTGGTCTTGGATTCCCTTTCTTCCCTAAGATCTAGAGTGAAATGGTTGATGACATTCACAAAATCTTTAAGACTCATTAAATATTTTTTCTTTCTACTAACAGAGCTATTAGGGAACTGGCCAATAAGAGCCTCTGGTATTTAAAAGTCACTTTTATCTTTGTAGGTAGGAAATCAGACTCCCACCTCTCTGTGACTTCTGACTTTCCTTGCTGGAGAAAAACAGATAGGAACGTGCTGGGGCCTTCTGCCTTATCCCAAACCCAACAGCTGCACTCATCTGCAGTGTGACCTGTCAGGTTCCATTCATGAAAGAACATAGAAGTCCAAACATACATACATACATACATACATACATACATACACACACACACACACACACACACACACACACACACACACACACACACACACACACACACACACATACCTAATACAGGATATGTACTTAACCAGCTCACTGAAAACCAATTTCTTAGCCTTTCGGTCTGAGCTGCAGGCTAAGCCAACCCCAGGAGGTTGGCCTTTCCTTCAGAGAGAGCAAACTGTATAACTAAGGAAAGAATAGTTTGTTTGGGTTTTTTTTTGCTATGTTATGTCACCAGATTAGACAAGTTACTTATGGATTTTCTCCCCAGTTTTTCTATCCACACAGTGGCTTTATACCGAGTTGACTCCAGATAAAAATTGGTTCTATGTTGTGGGAGCCCGTTCTCAGGTTCCTCATGGCTTTACCCAGCAGGTCCACATAGAGGATGATCAGGACCACGGGCCTGAGTGCAGGTGTCTGAGATGGTGTGCAGTTGGCTGTGCTGGGGGAGGAGGTCTTTTGCTCCACCCCTTGGCATCTCTATAAAAACCCTGGACCAGAGACAGTCCGGGCCCGTTGGACTAGGTTCCAGGCCCTCTTGAGGTTATCCTTTATTTTCTATCTGTTTGTCTCCGCAGGATTCTCCACAATAAATCCTTCTATCTAATATTTCCTGCTGCTCACACTCAAGAAAACTCTGGGAAGCTGTGGGGTTGGTGGGTAAACGCCCCACACTATGTCACTGTGACCAGAAAGAAGGGAATGTGGGGGCCACTCTCCTTCGATCCCATGGGATGTGGGTCGTCTTTTGAAGCTGGGCTTGGTAGGCAAGAAAAGGTATGGACAACGGGGTCATCTCAAACTTGCTTGGAGGGAGTTCTAGCTTCTGGGCCTCCCCAACACACAAGCTTGGTGTGTTGCCTGAAGCCTCTGTCCCGGGCTTGTCCTACATGCCTCCTGCAAGGCTCCTTTCATGGACTTCCTCTAGGTCTCATCTTCCAGGCTGAAGCTTGAGGGACTTGAGTGTCACCACTTTGGAGATCCCATTCCCTCTGATACCCTCCTTCACATGGCCTCTGTCACACCTGAACCCACACCCATCTCGTCAGTTACCGGCTTATTTCTGTATTTACACTCTCCCCGTAGGCTTGACTGTTCATTGTGTACTCAAGACACACCCATCTGATGCCTTCTTTATTATTTTGCCATATGGCACAACCTCCTTTACTTCTCTTTTTATATACCATGTCTGGCAAGGGGAAGGAAAATTAAAAGGATGGGGGCTGGAGGTGGCAGTGATGGTTTTTGCTCTCTTGGTCCAGCTGGACTTGTGGGTTTGAGAATATTGGCAATAAAGACCAGCAACTGGTAACACTTTATGAGATGCTGAAGGCAAATATTTGTCTGAACTGGTTAACTATTAACACTACTTACAGGGCTGCCAATCAGTTTTTCTGCTTTCTAGCTCCCCACGTATTCATTTGAGGTGTCAAAAAGTAGATTTAGAAAGAATTTCAAATCTGACCCAGTTCGCAAGAGCAAGAGCTTCATTTAGGCAGCAGAGCTGGGAATTAGGCATCTATGGGGAGGCAGCAAGGACTATAAGTTGGCAGTATTCAATGAAGAAGTCTCCGGGGAGAGACATAGAAAACTCATTTCCGCACATGACAAGAAATCTTGGCATGAGGGAAGCCTAGCATGCTCAGGGAGAGGCCTCCAGCCAGGGCAGACAGAAAACCGGGGACCTCCTACCCAAGCCCCACCCTTGGCAACGCTGGAGAAGACAGCTTTGCACACCAGTGTCTAGCTACCAGTATCCAAAGACTTTCTGAACTATCTGGAAAAAGAAAAACCAACAAACAGCAAACAATGAGAGGAAGGCAGGCACATTAATAAGGCCGTTCACTGTGTGGAAAACACACTGGGCCTTCACTGCGGAGGTGGTGGTATCCATGGCCTCCCATGACTCACAAGATAAAGGGCATGGTATCTGGCCAGACTGATGTGGCAAGGAGCAAAAAAAAAAAAAAAAAAAAAAAAAAGATAAATGGAGTGACTATTCTGCCCCTCCCCCAGTGCTCAGCAAGTACTAATCCATCAGCTCACAACACAGACGGGGTGTAGGAAACATTGGGTAACAGCAAATTAATTTAGTGTCTGGCTCTCTCTGGATAATGAGCAGGCAAAAGTGTGCGTTAACACTCTGAGCACGTCGGCTCCAAGGAAAACAAGAGTACCTAAATATTGACGGCAATTCCATTAGAAACGCGTCCTTCCCAGGGCTAGGATCGCATATTGACTAAATTAGCACTAGCAGCAAGAGTCGGAGGGACAGGCAGCATGTAGCCATCGAACTGGCTGGAACTGCCACAGTAAATGAGCTAAGACGGAAGCAGAGAAAAGAGGGGCCAAGTCTTCCTTGGAGAGAGAGAAAGAACATCACCATGGCTACTAAAAATGCCAAGTCTCTTTAAAAAAATATAGTAACCAAATAGCTGATACGTGTAAGAAGTAACTCCAAAAATGTATCTAGAAACCTGGGTTTAAAAACATGATAATTAGAGTGGAAAGGAGAAATTTGGGCTGAGGAGATATCTCAGTTGTAAAGTGTATAAGGGACAAGTTTGGTCCACAGAAGCCATGTAAAAGCATTGAGTGTGGTGGCATGCATATATCATCTCAGTGGTGGGGAGGCGGAGACAGGCAAATCCATGAGGTTCACTGACCAGCCAACTAGTTCACCTGCAAAGTTTCAGCCCAGTGAGAAGTTGTCCTCTGGTCTCCACACTCATGGACACACTTGTGCACTCACACCTACACACATATATGAACACACACCCACCCCTATATGCACATGTGGGGGGATAAAGCTGATTTATTATAATTGAGCACAAGCATGTATGTTGTTATTGTTCTGTTTTTTTTTTTTTTTTTAAGATAACATCAAGTTGGGAGGGAGTGTGTTGGAGGAGCTGGAGGAAGGAAGTAGAGGGTAGTGTGATCATAGTTCATGGTATATAGGCATGAAATTCTCAACAAACTGAAGAGGGAATCTGGAAACATGGTCACATTAGGATTAGAGAGGAGGCCATGACTCAATAAAGAGGGGTCTATGAAAAGACAGTGTGCTCTTGAGTGGGAATATCCCGGACCCCTCCTCTCCAAAAGGGCATGTCACAACTGGAGTTCTCCATCAGCCATGCCCTGCCTTGTGACCGTGATCACAAGAGTAGGGGCTGTGAGTGCCCTGTAGTTCATGATTGACACACTGTCTGACTCTGCTTGAGCCCTTTGGGCCCTTGTCTTTAAAATTCCCATCCCACAATGATATCCAGATGAATGACTACATTAAAGAAATGTTTAATTCAAAAATAATAGGAGGATACTAGATGTGGAACAAAGATGACTGGACTGATACTCACATCGCCAGTGAGACTACCTGGAAAACAGGACCCCAAGAAAGACACGAGGATTGCCCAATGACGGAGAAATGGATGAGATCTACATGAACAGCCTTGACATGAGTGGGGGTAATGAAGGGAGAGGGTCGAGGGAAAGAGAGCCTGTGGGAGCGGGAGATCCCAGCTGGATCAAGAACAGAGAGGGAGAACAAGGAATAGGAGACCATGGTAAATGAAGACCACATGAGAATAGGAAGAAGCAAAGTG